CATCCATAAACAACTGTCAGCCGAGGGGAGAAACAGGATTCCATCCCGGCTGTTGGTGTTTGTAAGATCGGGGTTCGGAAGAAGGATCTTTCGAGATGCCAAATGAGGGATGCTCGAAAGCGATAGATGTGCTTCCCCATCATGCATTCCACGCAAGAACCATGTCTTGTTTAGGTGGGCAATGTCGATGAACTTGGGTGGATGAGAAGGGGCCGGGAGCTTGACTTTGTAGCAAGAAGGATGGAGTGATCAAGCTACCTATTGCCAAGTGAGACTCCTTGATCTTGCCTTGCTCGTACAGCAGCTCTGCGTTCCTCATTACATGTAGGAAGAGTTCACCAACACGACTGCCTTGCTCGTCTCTCGCAAGTCTCCTTTCATCTCGGTTCCATCATCCAGAGTTTGAGCTTCTGGATTATCCCTTCATCAAGTAGCTCGAGCTCTTGCGTCGTGACGTTTGAGCAGTCATGTCTAGCAAAAGGGTATTGGCGATCACCTTGTGGGCATAGCGTATCGCCGGGTTCTTGATGCAGCCACTCTTGTTGCTGGAAATCTGATAAGATCTCGAAGCTTATCATCCTCCACAGCGCATGGAGCTCAGTTGCGGCTACACACACTCGGTGTCAAGACCTCGATCCTCCTCAAGGTTGTAGATGGTCTCAAGCTCCTTCATGCTGAGCAGATACTCTTGTCCCAGTAGCGTGAAGGTGATGTAGCCGATCCCATCTCTCTTGAGCTCAGCAGCTGCTCCCTGAGGATGCTTCTTGAGTTTCAGGGAGGCGAGGAACTCATCGCCGGTTCCCTATATGCCGGGAGAGCTGCTTCGTGAATCTCCGAGCTCGATGTAGTAGAGGATGTCGTTGACGTCCTCCTCAATTCCCAGCTCTCTTGATTGTCTCCTGGTGTGGGTAGCGCATCGACATGAACTGCATCCTCCTCAAGATACGGATGCGCTCTTGGACCCCATAAGGTCTGGGATCATCGAGTCATCCATGTCCTGGCCAGCAGTCTCCGGCCATTTCGGACCGACACCTTTGGGCCTCCCTTTCTCTTCCACTATAGTCCATCTTCTTCTTCCCTCACGCTTTCTTCCCTTGACGCTTCCACATCTCCACTCTGAACCACATCCTTCACTCTGAACCGGCTTCTTTGTGAACTTTGTTTTCGCCATTGTACCTGAGAAACAACAATTCTCAAGGTACGATTAGGCTCTGTTTTTAGAATAATCACAAACAATCAAATTCAAACTTCGGCTTAAACCAAATTCGATTTTCGATTAAGAACGAGCTCAAAACTTTCAAATCCAACCACTCAAGATCATTTAACAGGAAATTTTAAAAACATGCCGTGAACCTCGAGATTTTAGCTAGAAAACTCAAGAACACTTTGAAAAACCTAGTCTCGAGATTCACTTCAAGCACGAAATTTCCTACATGCAAACTCGAATTCGATCTAACCTAGTCGCAATCACCTGGATCTACTCAAGAATAGCAACAAACAGGTTTCTCTTTTGAATCCCAAAAAGAAGAAAACCGGAAGTGAAAGAGTAAAAACGAAGATCGGATACCTTGATTGGACTGTCGGATTAAGATGAATCGAGTTAAGTTTGATCGAGCGGCGGATTTAAAGAGATTGAGCTTTGAAATTCGAATTTTGGTTGAGAAACGAAGAAATCCGAGATTTTCGTGTAGAGAGAATCGGGGAAAAAGCTTTTTGAAGAAGAAGAAACCCCAAGTTTTAAAATAAAGGAGAAAAGAAAAGGGTTTCTTCTGATTTTAAAAATTCAAAAAGAAACGGGTCACTTACTGACGCGGGTTGTTGTCAGAACCTGGCTGACAACCCGTCTGCTTTAGAATTCACCCGGTTAAGCTGAGATTAGAGTCAAAGGAGTGTTGGATTGGGCAGTTGAATCTTAAGCTCTTGGACAAGAAATGTCTTTATAGAACTGCCCATTTCCAATTCCTTAACTCTCTCTCAGCTTCTTCTTGAATCATCCCTACAAAACACATTAGATAAAAACAAAGCTAGATAAAAACATAAAACTATTTACAAAAGGATAACCATGGGACTTCCTCCCAAGTGAGCTTGTTTTGAGTCCATAGCTTGACTTTCATTGCCTTTTTAGGCTTGGGGTGGATCATGGAGACGGATTGAACTTCCCTCTCCAATGCTTTGACTCCCCATGTACTTCTTCAACCGATGACCGTTAACCGTGAACTCAGCTCCATTGTTGTTCACTAGGGTGATGGCTCCATAAGGCAACACTTCCTTGACCTTGAATGGTCCTGACCAGCGACACTTAAGCTTCCCAGGGAATAGCTTGAGCCTTGAGTTGTAGAGGAGCACATCATCTCCCTCCTTGAAAACCTTGGGAGTGATTCTCTTGTCATGGAAGGCCTTAGTTCTCTCCTTGTATATTCGAGAACTCTCATAAGCATCCAAGCGAATCTCCTCTAGCTCGTGGAGGTCCATTTCCCTCTTCTCCTGAGCTGTACTTAGCTCCATGTTTAGGAACTTAATTGCCCATCTAGCTCTATATTCCAAGCTCAAGAGGCAAATGGACAAGACTTCCCATAGATCAAAGAGTATGGAGATCTCCCAATTGGCGTTCTTGTAAGCAGTTCTCTAAGCCCACAAAGCATCATCCAACTTCTCTGACCAGTCCTTCCTTGATGAGTTCACTGTCTTGTGGAGTATGGCTTTGATTTGCTTGTTAGAACCTCCACTTGACCACTAGTTTGAGGGTGGTATGGTGTGGCTATCTTGTGCTTCACCCATATTTCTTCAAAAGGTTTCAAACACCTTGTTCACAAAGTGAGATCCTCCATCACTGATCACACATCTTGGAACCCAAACCTTGGGAAAGATATAGTCTTGAACAGCTTGAGGACCACTTTGGCATCGTTGGTTGGTGCGGCTATGCTTCACCCATTTTGAGACATAGTCAACGGCGACTAGAATGTAAGTTGCCGTGAGAGGCAGGGTTGAATGGACCAACAAAATCTATTCCCCATACGTCAAACACTTCAACTTCCAAGATAGGATTCTGAGGCATCTCGTTCCTGCCGTGATGTTCCCTGCCTTTTGACAAGCCTCACACTTAGAGATGAAGGCATGAGCATCTTTGAACATACTTGGCCACCAAAAACCTGCTTGCAACACCTTCTGGACCGTTTTAAAAACCGCAAAATGGCCTCCATAGCTTGACCCGTGGCAATGGAACAAGATTCCCTCAACTTCCTTTAGCCACACATCTTCTGAACAAGTTATCATTCCCTTTTCTGAACAAATAGGTTCATCCCAGTAGTAGTGAACCACATCTTTGAAGAACTTCTTTCTCTGATAACCACTCCATCCACTTGGAACTTCCCTGCACACCAAGTAGTTCACAAAGTCTGCGTACCATGGAACCTCTTCTCCTCTTGCTCCTTCCAGCCGGCACTTGGTCAAATAGCCTCTATCCACGATCTTAGCAGCCATGAGTTGCTCCTCAGGCAAAGAGTCATCGATGGGAACATCTCCCTCAATCCTCAATCTTGATAGATGATCGGCACGCTATTCTCGGTGCCTTTCTTGTCGACGATCTCGATATCGAACTCTTGAAGCAAGAGAACCCATCTTATCAGCCTCGGTTTAGCATCTTTCTTGGTGTAGAGATACTTGAGAGCTGCGTGATCGGTGTGAACTATGACCTTTGATCCCACAATGTAGCTCCTGAACTTATCAAAAGCAAACACTACGGCAAGCAATTCTTTCTCGGTCGTCGCATAACGGGTTTGAGCATCATCTAGCGTTCTACTTGCGTAGTAGATGACGTTCATCTTCTTGTCCACCTTCTGACCAGCACTGCTCCAACCGCGAAGTCTGAGGCATCACACATTATCTCAAAGGGGAGATCCCAATTTGGAGCTTGGACAATTGGTGCGCTAACAAGGGCTTCCTTGATCTTCAAGAAAGCTTGGCTACACTCTTCATCAAAGATGAACTCTGTTTCTTTGCATAAGAGTCTTGTGAGTGGCCTGCTATCTTAGAAAAATCTTTGATAAAGCGCCTGTAGAAACCCGCATGTCCCAAGAAGCTTCTCACATCCTTAACTGATTTTGGCTCCCCAAGTTGCACCATTACTTCTATCTTTGCCTTGTCCACTTCAATGCCTTTCTCTGAGATCTTGTGGCCAAGGACTATCCCCTCTTTCACCATAAAATGGCACTTCTCCCAATTCAAAACCAAGCCCGTTTCCTCACATCTTTTCAGCACCCTACATAGATTAGACAAACAAGAGGAAAAGGAAGAGCCATAGACCGAGAAATCGTCCATGAAGACCTCAACCATTTCCTCTATTAGATCCGAAAAGATTGAAAGCATGGCTCTTTGAAATGTTGCTGGGGCATTACATAGTCCAAATGGCATTCTTCGATATGCGAAGGTGCCATAAGGACATGTAAATGTGGTCTTTTCCTGGTCATTTGGATGGATTGGAACCTGGAAAAAACCACTGTAGCCATCCAAGAAACAGTAAAATGGATGACATGCCAACCTTTCAAGCATTTGGTCAATGAATGGCAAAGGAAAATGATCTTTCCTTGATGCAGAATTTAACTTACGATAATCAATGCACATTCTATGTCCAACTATTGTCCTACTTGGGATCAATTCATTCTTTTCGTTCTTGATGACAGTAATCCCACCCTTTTTTGGGACGCAATGTACTGGAGAAACCCAAGTACTGTCCGAAATAGGGTAAATGATTCCTGCATCAAGAAGCTTCAAGATTTCTTTCTTTACTACTTCTTTAAGATTGGGGTTTAACCTACGCTGATGCTCAATAGATCCCTTTGATTCATTTTCGAGATGGATCCTGTGAGTGCATAGAGTAGGGGAGAGACCCTTGATATCGTCCAGCGAGTATCCAAGAGCTCTCCTGTACTTTCGCAGCTCGACAAGGAGGGTTTCAAGCTCATGGGGGTCTAATGCATCATTGACAATGACAGGGTATGTGGAGTTAGAGCCTAAGAACGCATACCTGAGCCCCTTTGGGAGTGGTTTGAGATCGACTTTGGGAGCCTTGAGCTCAGACCAGTCATCGTCCGTGCCTTGCTCTTGAGAGCTTTCCTCCTTTGGTTTGGACTCTAGAGCAAACAGGTTCTCAACCTGTTTTCCATCCCGGATGCTCTTCGTTTCTGACTGAACCAACTCGTCAAAGCCTGTCCCTCTTTTGCTGCTCTGTGTGAGTCCATAAGCCAAGCATAACCCATACTCTCTGCTTGTAGACATCCAAACTCCTCATTATCCTTAGTCAAAGCCAGCTGCAGCTTATCCTCAACTCCCAATTCCTCCAAGTAGTCTTCGGCTAGCTGCTCAAGTGTTTCAATGTAAAACGACTCACCATTTATAGTTGGTTGCTTCATAACATCTTTTACATTGAACACCATCTTGCAGTCTTTACCCAAATTCAGCTCAATCTTGCCTCTTCTCACATCAATTATAGCTCCAGCAGTGGCAAGGAAAGGTCTTCCCAAAATCAGAGGATCTTTGGGTTCTTCATCCATCTCTACTACCACAAAGTCAGTTGGAACTATCACACTTCCCACCTTGAGTGGCATATCTTCAAGCATACCTACTGGAAGCTTAACTGATCTATCAGCAAGGATCAGAGAGAAATGACACTCCTTGTATTTCTCAAAACCCAAACGCCTTGCCACAGTCAAAGGCATTATGCTTACACTCGCCCCAAATCACACAAACTTTTCTTGAATGCTAAAGGTCCCAAGAACAGGGAGAGTGAAGCTTCCAGGGTCACCAAGCTTCTTTGTTACTGTCTTGCTTTGAATTATAGCACTACACTCTTGAGACAATACCACCATGCCTTGCACTTCCTTGGTTCTCTCCAAAATGGCATCTTTCAAAAATTTCTGATAAGGCTTGATCATCATGAGAGCATCCACAAAAGGGATCTTTAATCAATCTCAGATAGTGCTGATCAAAAACTTTCTGCATTTCTCTGCCATTTGTTTCTTGAAACGTGTTGGAAAAGGTAGCATTGGCTTGAATGGTGGAGGAACAAAAAGAGTTTCCCTCCTCTTCTTGTTTCCTTTTGACGGCTCCGGTGCGCTGTCCTCTGCTTCTCAGGCTCTACTGATCTTTCTCAACTCTCCTCAGCTTCAATGTCGACTGACTCCTCCTCCTCTTGAATCGCAACGTCCTCGTTGCGTCTTGATGGTACCACTCTCTCCGGAAGAACTCTCCCACTCTTAAGAGTAATTGCTTGGACATACTCCTTTGGGTTTGCGATTGCTTTTCCAGGAAGCATTCCCTTTGGAAGAGGAAGGTATGTTGTGGCTCTTAGCTTCCAAGTGTTGAACCTTTTGAGTTTAAAGATTCCAACTTCTTGTTGAGGTCATTGTAAGAGCAATCCACCTTGTTGTTGATCTCGGCTAGCTTGGTGTTAGCTCAGTAGCACCACTTGTTTGGCCCTTTGATTAATTGTTGAAGCATGGTCTTCATATCTGAGTCTTGACTTGAGTTGCTCCCTGCTTGAGCTTGAGTTGAGCCTTGGTTCTGATTCCAAAAACCTTTGGTGGGTAACCACGCTTGAAGTAAACAGTTTGTTGGCCCCCTTGATTTTGGTTTTGTTGAGGTGGGTAGACCTGGTCTTGTGGATTCTCCACATTGGTGCTGCGGTAAGAGAGGTTCGTGTTGTTGTTTGTGTTGTAACCCTTTGTAGTAACCTCCCTGATTACTCATATAGCACACTTCCTCAGTTTGTTGGTCCTCCCCCTCTTGGTTCACATCATCCTCACAAACAAAGTGAACTTGCTTTTGTTGGCCAGTCAAGATCTTGTCAAGCTTGTCATTCAATGTCTTTGATCTCCTTCTTGTGCTTCTCATCATTGACTGAGCTATCTCCTCTATCACTTCGATCATACTCCTCTGGATAGTTTCCATCACTAAGAGCAACATTCTCCACCAAAGCGAGCCCATCTCTACATCCATGCCCATAAAATGACCCTTACTAGCTGAATCCAAATGCATCTTGTACTTAGGGGAGACTCCTCTGTATAACGTGCTTAGTAAGTTCTCTTTGGAGAAGCCGTGATGAGGACACTTCATTTGATATCCCTTGAATCGCTCATATGCCTCTGAGAATGTTTCACCGGTGAGTTGAGTGAAACTCGCAATGTTGTTCCTTAGCTGAGCAGTTCTTGACGTGGGAAAAACTTCGCAAGAAAGGCATGCTTGCATTGTTCCCAAGTTGTCACGGTTCCAGGTTGGATTGAAGACTCCCAAGCTAGTGCGTGTCCACTCAAAGAGAAGGGAACAATCGGAGCTTAAGAGCATCCTCAGTGACATTGTTGATCTTTTGCAAAGCACAAATTCTATCAAACTTTTCCAAGTGCTTCAAAGGATCTTCATCTTTCATTCCGTGAAAGATGGAATTCTCCACCAAGTTTATCAAGCTTGTCTTGATGTCGAAGTTGAAATTTGGGACCGGTGGTGGGGTAATGCCGGGACGATTCGCTGGAATCGTCGGAATATCGCCAGCTCCGATTTGTCTTGCCGGACGTTGAGCTTGAGCTGGATTCCCGGCTTGTGGTGGAAAAACTCCCGGTGGAGGAGCTCCTCCGTGGTTATCTGCCATCGTCTCAGTACCAGAGTCGTCGTCACTGAGCTGTAACTCGGAGCCTGTCTGAAATCCTGAACTCGACTCTGCTTCTACTCTGTTCTGCCGTTGACGCTCGCGTTTAGCTCGTTCAGCTCGTTGAAGTTCGTCGGAGCTTAACAAGTTGATTTGCCGCGAGAGCGTGTTTGCATACACCTGAGAGTAAGACAAAGCAAAGCCCAGGCAGATTAGGTGTGTAAGTTGCAGAAATTTAAAAACTTGAACTTGAATTTTTCCAAAATCGAAAAATCCCAATCAAATCCCCAAGATTGGCAACGGCGCCAGTTTGAAAACAAGATTTTTAGTAGATCCAAACCCTCAAATCTCTGCTCATATCATTGCAGTATAGTTTAAGGTATCAATCCAAATCTCAGGGAAGATTGGGTTCTAAAGATTGAACAAGAAAACTTCAAGCCAAGAACAAGATTTGGTTTTTATGAAATCCGAACGTTAAACAGTAAAATACAAACTTAGAACAGTGAAATAACGGTCCAAATCAAGATTCAAAGAGGAAAGAAATCGACTTTGAGCTAAAAGACTTGAACTTTGAAAGAAAATGAAGAAAGGCGATGGCTTTAGGTGATTTCGGATGGAAATCGAGCTAAAGGAAGAAGCTTTAAGACTTAGAAGATAAAACCGAGTTTCTAGGCTAAGGAAAACGAAAGCAAGAGCTTATCACTATCGTGAATGAGCTCGAATGCAAGGTCCAAACTCAAGAGCTCACTATCGTGAGTGAGCTTGTACACAAGCAAGCTTTAAACGCAGATCCCATCACCAAAAAGCTCTAAACAAATCGCTATCGCGAGCTAGAAAAGCGGATCCCTTGTCTTAGATTATCTAGCTCTCAAACACACTTTTGATGTGTTGAGAGCTTGAGATCTGAGCCAAGATGATCAGAAATGACTCAGCCTTAAGGGCACTAAGCAAGGAGAAACTCTAAAGGTTCTAGCTTTAAGCTCAAACTCTCCTTTAAAGCTCTCAAAACCGAATCACCTAAAACAATCTAAAGACTACTCACTCATCCTGTTTGACAACCCGATTCTCATAAGAGGAAGGTTGTTTCACAAGTAAATGAGATGGAAACTAAAATGCAAATGACAAGTACGTGATTTGATTAAGAGAAAGAGACCAAAGCTTACAAAGTCTTAGATCTCGAACTAGAGTATTTCTTGGTGGCAAAATGAAAGACAAATTACAAGATGCCTAAAAACTTAGGACTTTTTAGTTTATATAGTGGAGACTCTAAAACCCTTCTTCTTTCCTTCCCCAAGATTTAAGCTCCAGAACGCCGCGTTTCATTAAGGCATGGTCAACTCTCTTCTTGGTCAAGGAGCTTGTAAGGCGACAAACGGGTTCTGATCCTGGTTCGCATCCTGGTTGCTCTTTGTCTTGACGTCTCCGACACTCCTTCTCCCAAATGGCTCCAAAGCTCCATTAAGCACCTGATTCAGACTCAAAATGCAATGTATATGCAATGCAAGTCCTAATGAAGATGCATGTGAATAGATAGAGATATGTGGATATAAATGTATGAGAATGATGCCAATAGGTGGAAATATGCATGTAAATGTATGCTAATGTATGTTAATATATGTGTATATCACATCCCAAAATAGTTTAATAAAAACCAGTGTTCTTTTTATAACATCTTGATATCAATGTAAATTATATAATCTAACAAAAATAAAATTACTAAATAATAGTTTTCCTAGATTTATACATAGTCTTCCTCCTTTTTTAAAAGTGACTTTTCATATTCTTTGTATAAATGCTAATTATTATAAAATTAAAATATTAAAAAATATTGTATATATAATAGGAGAGTTGCTCTCTCCTCCTAGGCTATCCACATCAGCAAAAAAATCATTAATTGTATTTAAGATATTTAATATATGTGTATTAATATTTCTTTATATATATTCCTATTTTACACATAAACAAAACTAAGAAAAATACACAAACAATTTAATTGATTAATATAAAGTATGTGATATCTTGATGTTAAAAGTTAAAAGAAAGTTGTAATATAAAATGGAGATGAAATAAAGAAATATTTAACTTGAAATAGTATATAGTTAGGTTTTAACTCAAAGGATTTATCCTATTTAAAAATGTTATAATGTGCTTACAAGTAAAAAAGGTACAATATAAATTATTTAACATAGTAAAAAGCTAATAAAAAATTAGAGTTAGAGTTTGTTTTATTAAAAAATAGAAGTCGAGTTATTATTTAAATTTCATTGCAACGAAAAGTATGAAAATTTTAAGAATGGTGACATGTTTGTTTCAAAAATACAATTTATATTTACAAAACTAACATAATAGAAAATAATCAATTGTCATATGCTACCACAACAAAGCATATATGTAAGAAGTTATACATGTTTTTGTTTTTCATCATATTTTGAGTGCAATTGCGATTCTACACCATGTTTACAAATTTTAACGTTGAGTCAAATGCATATTAAATTTTAGAAATAGAAAACTCGAGATGAAGTAAGGTGTTAATATCTTAATAAAAAAAATTGATCATATTGTTAGTGTTAATTGTTGGGTTAACTCAAAATATAACCAAAACATGGAAGTTAACATATAACCATCATAATTCAAAATTTCAAATCAATAAATATAAATAAAATCAAACAGAAAAATTATCGCAAACAACCCCGCGCTTGCGCGGGGCTTTAATCCCTAGTATATATAATAAATTAAATTTAGTTCACGGAAAGAGGGATGTCAAGAAAGTAGAGAGAGAAAGCGTAAACTTAGTTTCGCTCACACATTCTCAGCTGCTTTTGAATGAAAGAACACAAAGCGTATAGTTTTCATAAAAGGGCGTTCATTGTTGAGAATCTAGTCAAAATATTGTGATCCAGTTCACTTCTTTGGGTGCTGAAAGGATGGGATGGTGCTCAATGGTGTTCGATTTTCAATTCATGTTCATCTATGTATTTAGATATTATTTGTTTTATTGAATTATATTCAAAATCATATTTTATACGTCAAGTTGATATACAAATTTTTCGCTGGTAAAAGTTAACAACTCTTGGATATATAATGTTTGAAAGCAGTTAATTCTATAAATAACTATGAATTGTTAAACGTAATACAGTATAATACTTGCCAACAAAAAAATTTGCATTTGCATTTTGTAAACGAAATTCTAATGCAAATACAAAGGTTAACATATATTCACACTCCAGTGTAGATTCTAAACGCAAGTTTAAAGCGGGACAACAAACGAAAATGCAAATTAAGTATAAATATCCAAGTATACAATTGATAATCACTCGTAGAAAAGCCAACAAAGAAAGAGAGAGAAAAAGGTACGTGTAAGTTTTTTTTGTGGAGCATCAGCCACTTATTTCTCGCTGTAACACCTCAATGTAAAACATAAGACCATGAAATTAAGTCCCCACAATACCACTGACTAATGGGCCAACACCATAATAAGCGACGTTTGTGTTATTAGTCAGCACGACGTTGAGAAATGTAAGCGAGCCAGTGAGGACGGCATTCGGTGAGCTAATTGTGCAGTCTCCGGTAGGAAGATAAATTCTGATATTGCAGATACTAGGGTGGAAGAAAAGTGTTTCCAAGAAGTTGAGAAATATGAGAAAATAACCGCCCGGGTTAGTTATTGTTTCAGCGAGGTTGTCTGTTAAGCCACCACATGTTAAGACAACAGTGCCGCCCGAGATTGGTGGCGTGTTCGGATCTCCTTTAAGGTCACACCGGGCGAGACCAAAGATTGCGACACTGCCTATGGGGAGGTCACCCAGTACAAGGCCATGTGAAGGGGAAGAGAGTGAAGTCATGATGACAAGTATGGAGATGAGATAAACATTTGATCTCACCATTTCTTTTTTTCTGTTTTGTTTCTCTCTCTCTATCTCTCTACTTGTTTTATAGAGTGGTTTTGGCTGTGTGTGGTAAAGATGCATACGGAGAGGGGTATTTATAAGGGTAGTGTTCCGGTTTGAATCTTTGATCAATTATGTTTCTTGTAGAAATATGTTTCTTTATCAGCTTTGCCAGGTCACATTATGACGTTATATTAAAAATTAATATGTGTTTTTACGTGGACGATATGTATAATGTATTCTTTTAATAAGAGTTTCTATCATATTAAAAAAATCGTAGTTAATGCGAATTTGTTCAAGTGAAGCAAGAAAAGAAGTGTATGCACGTGTGGATAACTCAGTGTTACTGAAGTTAATAAAAATGTCATTTACTATAACTAATTAAACGATATTAACTGGATGAAAATCATGTTATTATCCATTTTCCTCTTCACGCACTGGGTCTTTCTTTACTTTTGGTAGCCATCGGCTTCAAAGTTTCTTAAGAACTAATCAAGTTTGAGGCAGCAACCTAGGCTAGGACCTTGTAAATATTTTATATTTCATGGGGCCATTATCCAAAGTAATGTTCATTGTAGTAGTTTGTTTGTACTTTAGCTTGAGTTAGAGCATGAAAATGTGACGGATGGGACAAACTTAAATAACTCTTAATTGCTTAAGTTTCCAAAGAAAAGGAAACTGAAAGATGCAATCAGATTTATATTGAGGGGAAAAAAAAATGACGTATGAAGTTATCGTTAACCATAATAAATATGAGATGTTAGGATTTGAGACTTGCATGCCAATAGAGGACAAATAATAAACTGTTTCTTTAACCAATAATTAAATCTTTCAAGATACATTCAATCTTTTTATATTCACGCCTCATTGGTAAGAAAAAACTGTCCAGCCTCGTTGGTCTCTCGAATCAAAGCCGTCTTTGTTGGTTTCTCCACCGCAAAAGGACCGGAATAGGAGCACTGTCCATGAAGACTCTCTGACCGTCTCTTGCTGTGTACTCATACTTCCACTGTGGTCCTACAAGCCATGCCATTGCCGTTCCACCAAGCAACCCACCAATCTGAGAATTCACCAAAGATGTTATCAGACCACTACTTGGTTAATACATTTTGAAGGCATGATTGGGTTACTTACATGACCCCAGTTATCTATGCCTCTGGAGACCAGACCCAACGCCTGCATAGTCAAAAGCTTGTTAGACCTTGAGAGAAATTTATCTTTGATCTGTTTGTATAACTATGACTAACCATGTTTAGTGCTATAACTTGAGCTATCTGCATTAGATCTTCATTCCCACTTCTGACCATCTTTTTGTGTCTCATGACAAATACAGCAACCGATCCAACCTGTCCAAATAACAGCATTCGTTTAACAAAACTTGCACGAGTCTCACTCTCACACAGAAAGGCTTATAGTTCCAATGGACTTACCAATCCGAAAATCGCACCTGAAGCACCAACTGATGGGGCTTTGTTGAACCAGTAGCTCATTGCTGAACCTAGAACTCTTAAAGATGGATTCTGTAAGTCAGGAAACTCGAAACAGAGAGAAATATAAATCATCTACATGAAAGAAAGTAATTACTTGCAACAGCAGATGTCAAATAAACGGCAAGAAACCTCTTAGGGCCACCTAAACTCTCAGCAGTTGGTCCAATAGAATTCAAAGAATAGCAATTTATCTAAAAAAAAACAAGTTTTAGCCATAAGCAGCGTTTGATTAGAAACCACAAGGCTGAATTCAGGTTTGGTTTAGAAACAGAACCATGAGATGCATCGGATTCGCATGAAGAACAGAACATGTAGCCAGTCTCCATAGCTGACCTCTATCGATTAAGCTGTTTACCTGCTTTCACACACAACATATGAATCTGCAGCAAGAATCAAAAACTGTCTCACAATTTGATCAAGTCTCTGTAATATGGTTTACCTTGGCTCCCCATGTTAGAACTTTCCCATTGGATGCAACTTGTGCAATATACATTCTGGCAATCATTTTAAAACTCATAAATCTCAAAACTTTATTAACATGTGAAACCAAAAGGTATGATCTTTTGTTAAACCACATACATTACGTTAATGGCAAGGAGGACATTAGTCCATCTCCGTCCACTAAGTGAGTTTCTCTTGGAGGTCTCCTGGTTTGATGATGATGATGATGATCCTTCATCACCACCACCTCTAGGGTTTATCCTACTCTCTCCTCCGTTAAAGAAACATACAAATGACGATGGTGGAGACACTCGGATATCAACTCTAGACTGCAGAAAATTAGCTCCATTGAATAGTATGACTCTTTGATATCTTGAGAACTCCGTTTTTGCAGCATCAGAAAATTCCTGCAGTTTCTGTAAAGCAGCATAGTCAAAACTCAAAAGCCTTTCCTGAAAGATTTGATTTTTAAGAACAGTGACGTAAGATTTGAGCTTTTCGCGTTCTTTGGCTTTGGAAATTTTCAAGCTTTTGTGGTAAATCACGAGGATTAACTGTGATCGTCGTTTACTCAACAAGAAAGACAAATTCTTCGAATTCAGTGATCGGAAATTGAAACATTAACGCGGAGAGTTTCACAAAGCAACAGTCGAGAAAATTTGAGCCTTTGTATTCCAGAAATTCTACACAAATCCCCAAAATTTCGGAGAAAACCATTAAATAGTAGCTGAAACCTGAAGGGAAGAGCGGAGATGGAAGCCAAGGCGGAGGTGACGGCGAACATGGTGGCAGGCGTGTACGGATGCGGCGGTTGCGAAACCTCGAAACGCCGCAGATCCAGATTCCGGCGGCCAGAGATGATGTTGAGATAATGACAATGATACCATCTCTTTCGAACTATGTCTTGAAATTAAATTTCGCTTTGTACACAGAAATAGTTTTGAGAAAGAAAATGATCTCAAATTAAATTCGTGTTGAATTTCATTTTATGACATCGGTTTAGTGAAGATTAAAATGTTCGATTAATTTAGGATAAGAGAAGAGGTTAATAGTAGACGTCTGATTCTCACCACTGTCACAACTGAGTATTGAGACAAATTTGATTTGCCAAAATAAAAAAGCATAAGATAAAGAGAAAGACATTAATAAGATTAGCAATGAATGTTGAGGAAGATGGATGATTCTTCTTCTATTCACAAGCGAGCTTGGTGTCAAAGCTGCTTAAGCAAATCGCAAACGCCTGAAACGCCGATAACGGATACCTATAATCCATCGTGAACATATCTTTCCCAACTTTACCAAACTGGAGAATCACTTTGTCTTGCTCCGGGTGCGGCGGCGGTGGTGCAGCTGTCGTCGTCCCTTGCGTCGTCGGCGGCGGCGGTGGAAGTCTTGACGCCACCAGCTGGAAGTTTTTAACCGACGCGACGGTGACACGTCCGCGGAAATTCAAACACCAGCATTGTAACTGCTCGTGCCACCTCGGCTGCTTGTTCTTTAGTATCAACGGTCGGAAACTCTGTTCCTCTCCTCCTCCGTCGTCCTCGCAGGAGACACCGATCTCGGAGAATCTAGAGCTGCTGAAGTCGACGGAGCGGTGGTCGAGAGACGATTTGGAGAAGGAGATGTTGCTGCGGAAGGAGTCGTCTAAAGAGCGCGGTGGCGGAGGGAGGAGCTTCTCCGGTTGGTTCGGGACGGAGCCGCCAGGTTCGAGCGATGAAGTTGGGATTGAGTTCATGATGCAGTGCATTCTCCTTGGACCGCGCGTGCCTAGCACGTTGAGCTCGTATGTGATCTGAGCTATGTTGTAGCTACCGGTGGGGACTTTGGGAGACACTCTTCTTGAGTGAAACCTGCTCCGGCTTGTTCGATCGGTGATAAGTGCTGCGCTCGACGACGACGATGTGGACGGTGGTGGTTGTGTGTCGTACACCAAGAACTTCGTCCCAAGAAAGTTTGATCTGTTGGAGAACACAAACATATACATGAGGAAGAATTTCAAGAATCAAGAATTTCAAGATCAAGAACTTGAAAACGAACCTGAGCTTTCCGAGGTAAGAGTTGCTGGATCTTGAGATGTTATCAGCATCCATTGATATAATGTACTCGGTTCGTGTAGTTCTACGAGTTCGTTTAGCAGAAAGAAGAAACTTGCCATTCTCAACAAGCAGAGCTACAAAAAAAAACATACTTAGCCATAAACTAAAGTGAAGCAAGAACAAGAAGGTAAGTGAAGCAAGAAGCAAGAACTTACCAGGACTTAAACAAAGAAAAAGGTGAAATGTTAGCTTTGATTTATCCCTTTTGATGAAACATTGAATCATAGCATCACGAGGTCCTGGCTGGTAAAATTTTCATAAACACAAAACAAAAGACTTTTCTTCAGCAGTAGTTTTGTCTTTTGTGAAGTGAGCTCAAAACAAGATCAAATTTTTTAAGAAGCGAACCTGTTTGAGGGAAACGGGAAAAGTGAGCTTCCCGCAGATTTCAGGACAAACGACGATCTCTTGGCACATATCTCTCCAAGAACGACAAACAGAAGCGCAAGAGACGACGTGTTTTCTTGCAGGCCAATTACTCTCGCTCTCTTCTAATCTTCTGATCACGTCGAAGAGTAGCTCCGGAGGGAGATTAGCCCATCTGCTTGTCTGGACTATCACAGGCGACAAGAGATCACGGGAGGACGAATACTCGCGGAAGGAAGATCCCTGAGATTTCCCTTTGTGGAGACTCGAGAGCCTGAAATCGAAACTCCTTCTTGACAAGCTACCAAACCCATCTCTCAAATCTTGAACAATGCTTCTAAACGACATTTCTTCTTTACAACAAGGAAATGCACAAAACCAAGAAAGAGAGGTTCACACTTCACAATTCACAACCGGAGATGAGAGATACCACTTCACTGTCCATCAAGAAAGAAAGAAAAAGGCATTGAGCTAAGGGCAATTCTCAGTCACCTTAATAAGTAAGAAATAAAAGCAAAAGAGCCATAAAAGAAAGAAAGTGGAGTTTTAAAGGGAAAGAAGATTTGGCTAAAGCTTATACAAGCATGGCATGCCCAAAAAAACAAACTAGGTCATGTCCCTAATTTAGCTTTTTAATCAACAAAAAAAAAATATTAATCAAGAGAGAATCTGATAGTAATTCAACAAAGGCTAAAAAATCTGAGATCATAGAAGTGTATAGGAGGTAAAATCAGGAGTCAATTGAAGCAATATAATTAACTGGAAATTCAAGCTGATCCTTACTTTACTAAATCAAGGATATATGAAACGGTTTCCACAATAATCAGGTCATTAAAATTCAATCTGGAAAGAAATCACTCATCTGATTCACTTCCTAAAAAGTCAAAGTTTTAGCTAATTTCAGATGAAACTGTTCTTGAATTGTTTAATTACAAGAAATTCAATTAACAAGAACACATAATCTCAAGTGTAAAAAAATCAAACAAAGAAGGAAACTTTACTAAAAGAAATCACTCATCTGATTCACTTCCTAAAAAAAGTCAAACGTTTTAGCTAATATCGGAATGAAACTGTTCTTGAATTGTTAATTACAAGAAATTCAATTAACAAGAACACATAATCTCAGTGTATAAACATCAAACAAAGGGTAAAAGATGAACCTTTCAGACAAGCATGTGGAAAGCCAGAAGCTTTAAATCACATCAAAGCTTCAAAGACAAATCTCCTTAACCTGAGCTTCTCCGACCAAATCCAGAATCTCAGCAAAAAAGCAAGAACACAGAATCTGGGTCTTCTGCTTCAGAACTCGAATCCTCCTCCGGAAATTACGGGTAAACAGAGAAGATGAGAAAGAAGATCACAAAAGATTTAAGCAGATCCGTAGGAGCCTAAATCTAAAACAAAAGAACCCATAAAGTCAAAGAACAACAGAACCAGAAAGAGAGAAAGAAAAAAAAAAAAGATAAAGTCGTCTTCTACTTTTTTTTTCCAGTACTCAGGAGCTTTTCTTGATTTTTCTTTAATAGTTCACGAGAGACAGCAAGAAAATAATTAATAATAAAAGTTTAATTTTTTTTTATAAAAAGATGATACTCCACAAATGCTTCTTCTCTGGATTTTATCAGCGAATTTATATGACAATTTTTTATTATAATAAGAGAGAGAAAGAGAATGAAGAAAATTGTAATAAGTGGACATTGTGAAGCATTATTGTCCACGAGGCCGCATGACCTACGCCTCGCATCAAGCAAAGACCCAACGATAATTTTGACTTTCTTGCTTCCTTGTTTTTCTTAAACCTTTTTAACCAATTTGGTACTGAAAGAAGATTTAACACCGTTGAACTTGGAGTCTTATCAGTTATCACTGAATATTATAACTCCTTCTTGATTAATTAAATGCTTATATTTTCCTCATTAAATCGATTTTTTAGTCTTTATATAATAAAGCAGAGCTTTTATTTCCTAACATATATTTTTCTTGATTTTCTGGTATTTTCATTGTATCTTATCTGAGGAGGATAATTTGTTTAATCTATTGAAAACTACTAAGAGGATAATTTGGCATATTCACACACTTCTCTAGTTTATTGCTATTGGTACAATTTCCGACAACCGGTTTACATATTTCTTTTTTAATATTTTTCTAAATTTGTCTTATTGATCTATAGCTCTGCATGAAAGTATGAAACGTTCCATTTTTTTTTTTTTTTTTTTTATGAAACGTTCCATTGTTCCAAACGATTTGTCTTTTGATCATAATTTTTATTACTGAAAACCAGAGTACTGTTTCCATCTTAACTCTTAAAAAGATACTTAATTAAAGTCTTAACTCTTAATTCTTAACTCTTAATTAAAGTCAATTTTTGAGGTGCCTTTCTTAAATATATGAGGTAAAAAGTTTTGGGTGGGTTTGGTTGGTAACGGTCCATTTTTGTCCTTCTTCAGCTATCTTCCGCGAAGCAATCTGAAGCTCCACATCGTTTTCGTTTGATAGACTATGAAGACTCCACCACAAACCAATCCATGCAAAGCGTCTAAGAAGCATTGATCTGAATCAAGCCAAAAAGAGAACAAAAAAAAATCCGTTTTTTCTTGGGTTGATCTAGTTTATTATGGATCAAACTAGTTTGGTCTGAATTACTATTTAAAGCATTTTGCTAACCTCAAAACCTAAGCTAGTTTAGTAGTATAAGTTTATTTTAGTTCAAGAACCTTCTGGTTAAGCACTTTGATGAATTTTTTTATTTATTTTTATGCAAGAGTAAAGATTTAATTTTCTCCTAATCTCAATCTCTCTATTGATTACGTCTGTTGCTTCGTTTATGGTTACTTAAATGTTCATCTCTCTTCGTTATATCTGTTTTGCAAAACTATGTTTATCCTTTCTGTATGCATTTTTTTCTTCTTCCACATGCCTCACAGAATTACTTTTCATTGTTCATAATTTCACTAAATTGACGGCAACTAAGATCAGCTGGTGGCTTACTTTAATATAGAAACTCGGATATTTCTATCACTGAAAGTGTATAAAGGGGCCAAGTACTCTAAAGTCAACCATATGAATTGTAACCACTTGGTTCATTGGTTTATTGATTTCAATATTACATAGTTGTGGGCTATGAAAACCACATTCGAAATTTATCGGTTTTGTAAGGAAGAAACTTAGGAAGATTTAGGGCTAGATTTTGATGTAAGTCGAATGAATCGTAAGCAAGGATTTGGCTAAACGAATTTGTATTAAACGGATGAAAATGGTTACAGTGAATTCTCAGAAGAGAGAAAGAACTAAGCTCAAAGGAAAATACAAGGAAAGTATGATAGTAATTAGGTCTAAAATGATCGGAAGAAGATGTCCTTGATCCGACTGCTTTCAAGCTCCAGAATCAGCTACGATCCACCTCCGCGTATCTCGCCACGTGCAGCTAACGATCCCGGTGATCTCGGACCAGACCGGATTTGAAGGAGATCTTTTTTGATTTCGTCTTTCTTCGCAGTGCCGACCTGGTCCTTGATCGAGCTGGAGCTCGTCTTTACGTCGACAGGAATAGCTCGGATGGCAGTTAACTGGCCTACGAGGGAGTCGCTTGGTGGGCTCGAGGTCTTCTTGCTGGGCTTGAGTGGGCCTGGACTTCAATCTTGGATCAAGGTAATGGGCCCTTACGGGCTAGATTCCAGGTGTGAAATCTGGGTCCAATAATAATATGTTTTAAAAAAATACGGTTATAAGAATAATACTGCAACATATATTATATTTAATAGATCTTAGTGAATGTATAGTTTATGCATTTGTCTCACTTGCCCTTTTACCGCCTTCAATTACAAAGTACATCAACATCAGTTCCAAGTCCCCTTTTCGTTTCATTTAGTTACAAAATCAACTCAACAACTTCTGATCCGATTCTGGTAAACAAACATGGTATTAACTGTCGTCGATAGAAAATCGAAATCCTAATTTGTTACATGGTAGATCAGACCACATCCTACAAGGCTACAACCTAACTGACCGGTCCGGTATGGATTGGTTTCTTGATTATGTTAGAGGGTTAAGTATATTTTACCTTTGCCACACCGTTTGGAACATTTGCGTTCGCATTGGTTCGCATTGGATCGTCTGTTTTACTGAGGGAAAAAAGTCAGAATATATAAGGGAATTTATATATATATATATATATAGTAAAACCTCTATAAAATAATAATATTGAAACTTTAAAAATATATTATCTTAAAGAGTTATTATTTTATAGAAATATTATATCAAAATCAAGAAACTTTATAAAAATATATTTTTTCAGTTTTTTATTCAAATTTTCATTATACTTTGTTATTTTTATATTTAATATGAACATATCACCAGAAATTGTTGATGCAATAAGAAAAATCCGAGATGAGCTCCAACGAAAATCCAACTTTCAAAAAAGAAAAACTACATTGGAGTCATATTTTACTAAATTGATTTAGATATATATGCCTAAGTTTTATAATTATTATTTTAACTTATTGTTGGGACTATATTTTTACATAGAAGTTTCAAAAATATTATTATTTTATCATCTTATCACATTTTGCTATTTTTTACACTGGGTCGAATTAGGACCATAAAAATTTATTATCTTACAGTATTTATAATTTTATCAAATATTATTTTATAGAAGTTTTACTATATATATATATATATATATATATCTTATTATATAAAGCTGGATGCGCGCGACGTGGTTGCGACACGTAGGATTTTTATAAAATTTAGGATTGCGACATGTGTCACTTTTAATGTTATGTCCGTTAAGATCGTGACATGTGTCTTAGAAAAAAAGGAAAAAAATAATAATTAAAAAAATAGATAAAGGAAAAAAACGAAATTTTAATCTTTTATAGTTAAAAAAAAATTATATTTGTCATATCCTAATAGAAAAAGGTTTCTCATTCATCAAATTTATATTATCCAAACACATATAAGATTCAAATTAATGAAATAAATAAAATCCTATTAGTACATGAAATAGGTTAGGTTTAGTTAATCTTTTATAGTTAAAAGAAAAAAAAATTATATTTGTCATATCCTAATAGAAAAAGGTTTCTCATTCATCAAATTTATATTATCCAAACACATATAAGATTCAAATTAATGAAATAAATAAAATCCTATTAGTACATGAAATAGGTTAGGTAAACTAAATTTCCTATAACTGCATGGAATAAGTTACATGAACCCTATAAAAAGAGAGTTAAAGTAGTGTTTTTTTCTCATTCACAAACTCATCAAAGCAAACAACATGATAGCAATACATATGATTTTTATAACTCACAAAATTGCGATATGTGTAATAAAATAATGATAATAAAAAA